GCCGAAATGAACGGACGAGGTCCCGACTTCAAGCTGGAGTCCAAGGTGAACAGTGGGCAGGTCTGTCATCGTGAGCGCGTTGGTTCCGGATTGAACCCTGGAGTTAATTCCTACACAGCGCCGTTCTGCAGGCGGTCAGGGGTGAAACAGCCATTGGTCTTACAGCTGCTTTCTGCTCTTTTGGCCTGGGACAGTTTCCTCTTGGCCTTCCAGCGCTGAGCCAGCGGCTCCATAAACAGAGACAGGGAGGAGAGTAGATAGCAGAGCCCCGCCAGGTAGAAGGAACAGTCGTAGGTCTGAGTGTAATCATATAAGAACCCTAGAAAGCACAAAGATCACAAGGATGCGTTAAGAGCCTGTGTGTTCATCTGTGAATACAGTTATTATGTTTTCTTCTTCTGGTCACCCCCCCTCCCTTTTTAAAAACATGGTCATGACTTCACGATAAACTACAAAGCAACTCAACTGTTACTTTCTTCATTCCTGTATTTCTATTTATTTCCTTTACACAAGCCGTGTTGATACAAGCCGTGTTGATACAAGCGTGCAAATGCAGATGAGACGGAGCAGAAAGGCAGGTGTAAACACATTACACAGCCATCTGAAGTTTGAGCGTTTATCCTGACTGTAATATTTGAAAACATTTTTTTTAATGCCCTACAGCCTGAGGCAAGGGCCATGGCTTGCCAAACGTTTAAACAGAAGGGATAGTAAACAGAGCCACACGCTATTTCCATACGGCCATAAAGGGGGCCATTACTCACGTTTAAAACTCCCGAAATCCATAAGCTCCTCTGTGGGGATTGCTCAACACAGTGTGAGTGGGTTCAAAGCCTCTCACTTTAATGTGGGCCAAATGTTACCAGACACATTTATTTTTCCTAGAAGTAGCTCACACATATGAAGACGAAAAAAATCCAGGGCACTATATCTGTATTATGAGTCAGCATTTTGTATATTTAAGGAGACAGCCTGCCAGTTGAGCACACAGGCAGATGTTACTGGTAGTTCTGCAACAATCTTACGCTGCAAAATCAGTGTAACAATAATACCGTTTACAAAGCAGCTCTCTCAAACCTACCATGGATACATCGCTGTTATTCTAAGGGTTTGACATGAAGAATGCAATCTGACCCAGTAACCTTTGTATACATTTCCTTAAACCGAAATTCCAGTTAGTCTCGATGTCTCCAGGCGAGCTCTGACTGTAGGTTGTTTTTCTCCTGTGTTTCAGTTTTCACACTCCACAGTGACTGCATACACCCAGACAGGCTGACACACATTTGGGAAGCACCACAAGGAATTCAGGGCCCCAGGAAAATATGTACACACACACACACACATACAAAAATACATGTGCATAATAAGGTCTGTCAACCCATACTGTCCCCCTCTCCCCACCCCCAAACACACACACACACATATATATATACATACACACATTCACTCACTCCCTGTCAGAAATAGCACACAGACACACACAAACACAAAAGTAACATCTTTTCTATCATCACATCACATACAGATGTAGTACATATGGTTACGTGTTACAGTATGGGTTTCTCATTATGTACCTTTGGAAAAGTGAGACAGCACACGCTTGAATGTTTTCCATGATGTGAATCACTCACCTGCCAAAGGAGGCCCCGTGAGGCAGCCCAGGCCGACAAAGAACATTGAGAAGCCCATGGAGTTATTGAGCTTCTCCGACCCCACGAGATCTACCTGCGGGGCAAAACAACATACCAAGCACTTGTCACTGCCATCTATTTGCATTTTAAACAGTCCATTCTGCAGCACTACAAACCACGAACATTACTACAGGTTTTCCAACAAACATTTGAGAGCACAACAATTTTAAATAAAGCGAGAAACTGGAAACATTTAGCCTGATAACGATAGAAAAGCCGGTTCAAAATAATGGAATATGTGTTAAATGTGTTTAAAAAAAATCCCTAATTTCCATGTACAGCAAACATGACCTTCAGTGCTGTGCAAAAGTCTTGAGCCCCCATCTTTTCTTTATATGAAAAAACATAAAACATAAATGCAAATACAGTACATAAGGCAAAACCAGTTTGTACAGTTCTAACGAGCTTGAAATTCAATATTTGGTAAGAACACATTTTTTTCTTCAGCACAGCCTGAATACGCTTGGATAAGCTTTCTTGTAATTTCTTTAGTATTCTTCAGGAATGGTTCTCCAGGCTTCCTAAAGGATATTCAAAGCTCCTCTTTGGTTCTGTTAATTGACAAGATGATCCCACACTACTTTAATAATGTTGAGATCTGGGAGTCCAAACTCTGACTGTATGTTTTTCTATCAAGATATACTTCTGCCGACTGAGCCTCCACCATGTTTCACTGGTGTACCTCTCTCCTGACCTCAAACTGGTGATGTTCTGCACCAGAAATGTCAAATTTGGATTGATCACTCTATAAGACCTAATGACATTGCTTTTCAGTACAGTTCTTGCGTATTTAGTCATATTTCAGCCTTTCCTCCCTCTTTCACTTCCTTAAGAATGGCTTCTTGATAGGCACCATGCCAC